GGCCAGCTGTAGATTATCGTTAGGGGTAGACAAAGTAGGCGACAAGGACCAAGGACTCGACAAGCCAAGCGGCAAGGACAAGTGGCATATGATGTAATTAGAGCAAAGAAAAAAAAAACCATACGCAGTCAACGTCAATATATTATAAATTATCAAATGATCAACTATTCTCGACTTTTCTATACCCTTGCCCAAAGTAAAGCTGAAATCAAATTTTTCTTTATACATTTTAAATTTTCCCACATTTTGGAAAAAAAGAAAACCCCATTCATGGCATGGGGTATATTGGCATATTGTATTTTAAAGTTAAAGTAAACCATTGTTCAAAACCTCCTCTTTTTTTCTGGTTCTTAATTTTTTTTGGTTGTTTTCCAACACTCAAGTGCTCCACTTACTTGGCAAAAGTATATCCGCTGGCGATAAATTTCTTTGTTTTCGCAGCAAAAAAACAAGAAAAGGAAATTGAAAAGAAAAAGAAATGCAAAACTTAATTCATAAGAAGTTGATGTTGTTTGTTTAAAGTTTGCTGTTGTTGAGCATCCATCGCGGCTTGAAATCGAATCACGACTGACTGACGATGCGGCTCGACACTTGGTGAGTGACACACACACAAACACACACACTTGATTGAGTTATATACATATGTATCATACATATATGCACAAACACACCCTCTCTTCATACTCTCTACTCGCGCTCTCTCTCTCTCTCTCTTTCTCCCGCTCTCCCTTGTAGTTAGGATGCGGAGTGCAGTTCATATCTCGCCTTTGTTTGCTTTTGTATTGCGTATGTCTTTAATTTTCTAAATGCCTTATAGAGTTTTCAACCACTAACACTATTTGCCGTATAGCTCTTTGTTTTCCCTCTGCCAGTGGAAATTTACCAGTTGACATTATAAATGACCCCATGGTCGTGTTGTGCGTGTGAGTGAGTGTGTGTGCGTGTGTGTGAACTCTAAAATGACACACTCACTCATCAAACGTGCCATATTAAAAGTGGCAATAGATCTAAGAAAATCGTTTTTGCTGGTTTCATTGCGTAGCTCAATTATAAGAAAATGTTTATTTGAGTTTGGGATTTTCTTTAATTTTATTAAACATCGACTTCTAAGAAGGTAATCTATGACTATGAGTTGACTGTGATATATTTGAACTAAGAAAAGCTAAATAATAAAACCGGAGATTTATATTAAATATCTTCATATTTACTTCAACCTTTTTTGTTTTATTTCCAGAAACCTCTTAGAATAGAATTAGAGATAATCTTCCGTATGCAATATAAACTGTTTCATTTCACAATAAACATATTTAAAAGAGATTAGAATCAGCAGTAGAGAATTGGGAAAATTCTAGACACAAGTTAAAAGCAGAACAGATCTTTCTATAAGTTTCTACATAATCTTAACTTAATATAATCCGGGTATGCTTACACTTACATATATATATTTGCACTATGTTGACATTTCAAGTGCATGCGAATGTCGTTTTATACTTTGCTCATTTGGCACGTTTGATAAGAAGCAACAAAAAAAGTGCATTGTGCAAGTGTTTTTTTTAGTTTCTACTGCTACGCCCGCATTGCGTTTAAAATTATGCAAATGTTAACGGTCATGCGATAAGCACCTGAAACAGCCATAAAAAAAAAATTAGACCGAAACAAGTTTTAATTCAAACAATCTGCATTGCAATTTCGTGTTTCGTGTGTCCTTCGGCCATGTTGCCAAATAAGTTGAAAGTTAAAAGTTGAAACAATTAATTCAGAAATTGCATGCATTGGGAAAAAGTAACAATTATAAATCATATTAAAAGTTACGTGTTTATCGCTTCTAAGTTATAATCGATGATGACTTTATGTTGGGAAAATGCAATTTAATCCGATTCATGATAAAACCATGTAATATGTGTAAACTTATTATAACCAGAACAAAACTTCGTTATTATTATTATGCAATGTTTAACTGGCGTCCAAGTGCGGAAAATATGATTTACTGTATACGCATTTACGTATTTAGGATGACGCAAGAGATTAGATAAGTTGATGTCATAAAATACAACTAACGCTGATTATCTGTGCAGGTTATTTAATATCACGAGACAACTGTTAAAATATATTATTAGCTAAAACTTGTCTGCGTCTAAGCAGTTCATTGACTGTCGCCTGACAGTGTATTGAACTTAATTAGTGCATGCCCCGCTGCGCGTGTAACTGCAGGGTATACAATTTGCCCGACCTTATCTATAATCTCTGCACAATTTGTCTGTGCGGACTTAAAGCTATATTTAAATGTTATTAAAGTCTGTGCGCTTTTCACCTACAACAACACCATCATCATCATTATCGCCATCAACATCATTATTATTAACAGCTCATTTGAATGCGTCTCACGCAGCAGCTGCGAACCGGTTTGGGGCTTATTTTTATTGATTTTTATTTTTATTTTCTGCTTTAGGTATGCATAAATGTTATGCATGTGTGTCTGTGTACGTGTATGTGTGTGTGTTGGCACGTTTGAGTGTATTCGTAGCATGTGTATTGTATTCACGTTGCTATCAGCTGTTCGGCTCTTAGCACTGACACACATTGTGCGAGTACAGGCATTCATTAAATGGTATATTCAATTCCTTAGCAAGCATGTAACGCATGAGGGGAGAGAGGAGAGAGCAATGCTGAAATCCGCACACAAAATAAACTGACTTTAAATAACCATATATAATTATTTGTTATAAATATAAATATAGCTTATAGTTATGTTATGTTATAGTTATGTTATGTTATGTTATAGTTATGTTATGTTATTTTATGTTATGTTATGTTATGTTATGTAATTATATGTTAAAGTTATGCAAACTAATTCGTTGTCCAGTCAATGTTAATAAAGTGTTCAACATCTTTTTGTTATACTAGTCGAAGGCGTTCGGATCACAATATCATCAAGTAGCTCGAACAACCACATACTAAAACTCTTCTCAAAAATTTGGTTTACAGAGATCTTATTTTGGGCAACCCTAAAAACAAATCATTTGTGTCATACCCGAGCAGAGAATTTTATAATTTTACTTAACCGACTATATTTCACTACTTCCCTTAAGATCCGTTTACTTACTTTTATTGCAAAAGTATTAAATATTCGGCACGCGGAGTTTTTTCCAGTTTAAAATTACAGAGAGTCTTTACCGGTTTTTTTGATCAGCTGTGCAGCTGGTTTTTGATTTTACTGAAATTAGTCAGAACAATATTTGTTTTCAGCTGAATAGATGGCTTGAAACAAATGATAAAATAAAAACTTTAAGTGAAATAAATGGCACTAGCAAAACTGTTCAAGTTCCCGAGAAGCCGAGCTCCAACTAAAAGTTGATTTTACTATTAACAAAATACAATTTTTCAACAAAGTTAACCTTAAAACATGCTGAATAATTGCCAGCTGTCAATGCGCGTATTGCTTAAGATAAGAACTTGTTTTTAGGTTAAGATCTAACGTTACTTGGAGCCAGTTTAGAATGTTTTTGGCTTCTGAGTGCATTACGCCATCAAAATGCAAAGACTTTGGCCAAGGACGACGACAAACTGTGGCCATAGAATGGTTTTCGATTACATTAAATCAAATTTGCAGCTAGACAAAGGCAAAATAAAAGGAACAAAAACAAAAAACCAAAAAACTTGCCCGAAACCATCAAAGTGTCTGTAAGCAACCATCAGACACTTATGTACACATCAACATAATTCCAACCATCCATCAATATAACTATATATCCATCTGTATATATATATGTATACGTGACGAATGTGCCACTTGACTCTTAGTTGGGTCAAATCCGCCCTGTGGGGGGGTTGGTTTGTAGACGAAAACAATAAAACTCAAATGTTGGGCACAGGGAGGCACAACAAAATGGCTGCTCTTGTGTTGACTTGATGTGCGTGTGTGTGTGTGTGTGTTTGTGGGCTGAGCGTGTTTCCTTTAACTGAGTTCAGCTTATGCAAATAACTTGGCCCAAAAGCTGTGTATGCAGAAAATCCCAGTTTCATGGCAGACTGTTTGTCGCGGCCAACTTGGCGAATTTTCTGCCAGCCAAGGCCATATTTTCATGCGGCACACTTTGGCGGTTTTATTAATTAATTCTGTACATAGATTAATTAATTACATTGCTTTTGGGTGAGATTAAAGGCCTAGCAAATCGAGCGAGTTGTGATCAGAACGGAAATTTTCCTTGGACATGCCCATATAAACATTTGCTGTAATTTATCTTCAACTTGGGTACCTTTAAATATAGCCTTGCCATATCTAAAGCTTATGCCTTATCAGCAATGCTCAATGTTTTTTTTTTCCTATCATTTTTCCTTGTAAACGATGACGAATATCGAGCTATTATTGCATAAATGCAATTCCATAGTCCATCCAAAAGTTAAAAGCTTTTCCAATTTACGTAGTAGGAAAATATATTTTTTTTTTAGAGCGAACGCGGCATTGACGTAAATTATTGGAAATAATTTGTACATTTTTTTATAGAATTTTCCACAGTACTTGACTAAAAATAGCTAACATATGATTCCAAAGACATTTCAGAGTGACAAAATAATAACAAATGCGTCGGCCAGCAAGCATTAATCATGCCATGTGTCTATAATGTATAAATATATATACACAAACATACAAACTATATCTAGACAACCGTATGAAACACATGTGTTTGTGCCAACACAACCTCAATGAATATTTATATATGTATGTGTATTTTGTTGGAATAAATACTTTAAACAAGGTCAATGGGCCTTCGGATAACATTTGGGATATTATGTATACCGAGAAAGTTCCATTAACGGGCGGACATCTCTTTTAGCCAGCTAATTCTTTAATTTTGTTAAGAATTATTTTCGTATTTGCGCACATCTTAAAAGGGAATAGCTGACGTAGCTGTCCGCTCAAGCGAGCCTTCACTGTATATGTTTATAATTCGCTTAAGTGCATATAATAAAAATAATTCAAGTGTTTCAACTTAACTCACCTGTTCTCAAATGGAGTTCAAGTTGCCTCCACGTGGTTTCCGTGTCCGTGAATTGTTTATTAGCGAAATTACAACCATTATAGACTGCTTTTTGTTGTTATTGTTCAAATCGTAAACTTACACACACAGTTTACATTTTAGGTCGAATGACAACGATTGCTTTTTATATCCAGTCTTAATTTAAACAAAATTTAAAGCACTTGTTTATTGCTCTTGATTATGTTAACAGTTCAGCACAGTGGGCTCCAAGCGTTAAACACTGGGTATAAAAAGTAGTCGGCTAGTTTAAAGCTCAGTAGGCGTTTCTTGTTTTTTGTTTCTACTGTTTATATACAAATTGCCAAACAATTCGGTAAACAGTTATTGTCAGTGTTGTGCGATGCGTTTCGTTATGGAAAAGTACAAAAATAGTTTTTTTTTGTGTATTTTGAATAAATTTACGCAGGTTTTGTGTCACGCATTAGCATTCAACCGTAATTTCGTGTTATGCTTTAAATCATTTTTCTTTTTGTTTCTATTTTTGTTTTCGTTTTGTAGCAGTTCCGAAAACTCAGCATACAGTTCATGTGCGGGAGTTTCGATTTTTTTTCTGCACAATGCGTGAATGCGGGAAGGGCGCGTGGAAGGGTGGGGTAATGACAGCACCGCCCAGCAACGCAAGTTCACTAAGAAAGTAGTATTTGGCGGTCGGAATAAACAAATGCATCCAGAAACACTCATACAGACACACGCATACAGGCACACACGCAGTGTGTGAGGGAAAAACAGACGCTCGTAAACTGTTCAATTCACTTGTGCACGCCAAATTAAGTAGAGTTAAGTAAATGAGTTCAAGCAAATCAGTCGATTTTTATTTAATTTATAACTTAGCACTTCTACACGAAAGTTAATAAGACATTAATCTTTACGAATGTTGTCACTTTAGCTATTCCAATTTATTTCATCCGTACACACGACCGTTCGATTCCACAACTATTAACTGTTATGAGCAAGACGATGTTAGCGCACTGCTGTGCTCAAATGTAGCTGTTAACGCGCTGTTGAGCTCAGTGAACTGTTAACTCTCTAACGCTTAGGGAGTGTTTGTCGCTGTTATGAAAGCAGTGGAGTAGATATGACGGTTTTTAAGGGACACATCTTCACACTTAAATTAGTTGACTTTTGGCAGAACAGATGAAATATTTTTTACGAATATTTATATTTAATAAAATAATTGACTCTTAAAACTCATATATATTTTAAGTGTACCCTTAATAGCAGCTCTACTGCCCGTTGCTCTTAGAACGTATTTTAACAGTTTCGCACACATTCTGTTAGTTTAACAGCTGACAAGCAGTGTGTACACATGGACTGGCTAAAAATAAGGAAATGGAGCAAGCGCGCCCAAATTTGAATTAAAACTTCGTAAAGACAATCATATTGAATACATGGTTTATTTATTTGCAAACTATTTATAAATGTTTTATGGCACTTTATTCACAATTTGACAATATTCGCTTGTTTGATATACTCAGCATGTTTATGGACCGGCAATATACAGATGCCGATTAGTTAACAATTTACTACTCTAACTAGAGCTACATTAAAATATAATTCACACATATTGATTTATGCGTAAGCTCAAGCACACGCTAGGAACAGGAGTCACTATCAGCACCTTCCGCCTCGTCAGCTGTAAGAGATAAAGAGTGTTATAGTCATTTAACAAATTCCGCCAGCACTTAATATCATTAATGCCCATGGCTTAGTTGACATCAATCACAAACCTGTTGATAACTTAAGGCAGGAGTGTGTCAATCAAAGCCAATAACGGCATTTCATTCCTATCAGTTCACTTACAAAGTATTTGTAGTCCGAACATTAAAGCGAAGCCCGCCAGCGCGGCTATATAGGCTCGCCAGCCCGCATGATTCTGGGTAAGAATCTCAAAGAATACCACATAGAGCAGCGTGCCCGAGGCGATGCCCTGGAGTATGCCCGAGGGCACGCTCGGCTGATTCGAATCCGCCTGCTGACTAATGCCAATACCAATACCAATGCCAATGGGCGTGACAATCGAGAATGTTATGAGGTAGATAATGGCTAGCGAGGCGCGCGTGCGAGCCACGAGCAGCTCCATGCCCACGCAGAAGGCCAGCACCAGTTTGTGGGCAGCGACGGCGCCAAACATGAACCACACAGTGCCCACGGTGCCCTGCAGGCCAATGGCCATGCCCTCGAAGAGCTCGTGTAGGGATAGGGCCAATATAATGCCCAGGCCGCGCATAGAGGAGCCACTGCTGTCCACAGGCATATGACTGTGGCCATGACCAGGCGCTGCAGGCGGCAGCTCATGATCGCAATGCTGGTGCTCCGGCAGCGGATCCAGCGTGCCGGACTTCGAAGCTTCCTGTTTGCGTCTGGTGCTGCGCATCAGCACGCTGTGCCTTATGCTATGCCCACGCTCGAAGGCTTCGCTGGCCAGCGACTCCTTGCGGCTGAGCTTCTTCTGATGGCGTCGCATAAACGAATGCATCACCTCGTCCAGGGCGTACATGAGAAAGAAGCCCGTGCAGAGCAGCATCTCGGGCAGGGCAAAGGGCGTCGGCTCCAAAATGCCGCAATGCTGCAATAGCTCCACCACCTCAATCACCTCCGGCAGCATGTGCAGAAATGTGGTGCAGATCAATACACCGCCGCCAAAGTAGATCAGGCAGCGCACCACTGTCGAGGTGCGCGTCTCCTCTGGACTCTGTTTGGTCCACTTCAGGCAGCGATCGAGCATGTACGGCAAACTGCCGCAAATCACCGTAACCACAATTAGCACCACCATCGCCACAATTTTGGCCACCAGCAGCGCATGCTGATCCACCGTTCCCGTTGTCGCATCTCTCGCTATAATCACTGCGTCGATCGGCACCGCCGGCGGTGTTTGTATTCCGTACATCTTCGCACCACCGAATGCAAGTCACAAGTGCAAACGAACTGCCAACGGTGCGACCACTTATACCCCTATCTGGTGGCCATAAACTATACAGGTGTGCACTGATTGACAGCAGAAATTATGATCGGCTGGGAAGCAGATTACAGGGACGGACTTCCCGACCGTTCGGCCGTCTGGCTCGGGACTTTGTTGCTAATTTAAGTAACATTGATTTTGATTGTTTAAAATGATATCGAAATTTTAATTTGCTCCGATAAGAATGTCTTTATATATTTTAATCTATGTAAGCCAGACTATGAACAGACATCCGCAACACTGAGAAAATTAAGTGTGCTGAAAAAAACGATATAAGGAGAAATATCAGATTTTCCAACATTTTTTCTATTATTTTATAAAAATTTCAAAATTTGCATTTTATCTTTTAAAGCTTCTTTTTATGATAAGAGCTTTCAGGTGCTTTCAAAGCTGCTTAAAGCTCATCAAAAATTTTGGTTAGTTTATGTTTAGAGTTTAAATAATAAATAAAAGCTTTTTGAATAATTGCACACAAAAGCTTCTTAAAAGCCAGCATAAAGCTTTCAAAGCTTCAATTTAAGAGCTTTTTGTGTATCGTAGTGTTGAAAAACAATTATAGTTGCTGCTGGTAAAACTTATGGCTGGTAAAACTTATGAGTGTCAAACTTATGTTTAGTCATTAATTTTTGCTCCAACAGAAGGGCATTCATTTCCGGATTTGCCCGCAGCTTCAACGACTGCAAAAGAGCAAAGCTCAGGTTAAGTAGCCAATCTTTCAGGTCGAAACACTCACTCACCTGCAATTTGCAAGCCAAACATGAGCAGAAAGCCACCCAAGGAGCATAGAAATATGCGCCAGCTAGCATGATTCTTGGCCACAATCTCAAAGTAGACCACATAGAGCAGCGTGCCGCAGGCGATGCTCTGCAGTATGCCCGCCGGAATGCTAGGCTGATTTGCGCTCGAGCTCTCGCTGACCGCAATGCCAATGCCCACGCCGATGGGCGTGACTATAGAGAAGACGACCAGGTAAATGATAGCAATTAGCCAACGTGTGTGGGCCATCATAATCTCCATGCCTATGCAGAAGGCTAGGACCAGCTTGTGGGCCGCAATCGCGGCGCACATAAACCAAACCGTATCCACGCTCTCCTCCAGGCCGATGGCCATGCAGCCGAAAAGTTCGTGCAGCGACAGAGCCACAATAATGCCCAGGCCACGCAGCCAATTGGGCTGCTCCGGCTCGACTTGCTCCAGCTGCTGCAGCTCCTGCTTCGAATCCCGTTCGGGTGCCTGTTCCAGCGCCTGCTGCTTGCGCCGATGTCGTCGTCCCACAATGAAGTACATCAGCTCCTCGATGGCGTACATCAGGAAGAAGCCAGTGCACATCAGCATCTCGGCCAGAGCGAAGGGCGTTGCCGCCAGCATGTGGCACTGTTGCAAGGCACTCACCATGTGGTGGCAATAAGGACACCTCCGCCAAAGTTGAGCAAGCAAAGGACAGCCAGAAAATCGCGAGCATTGCTCTGCGTCCGTTGCGTCCACTTGAACCAGCGATCGAGCACATAGGGTATGAAGCAGAAGATTAATGTGACCAGCAGCAGGACAACAATAACCACAATTTTGGCCACCAGCAATTTGTGATCGTTCATGGCGCCAACTGCAATGGAAATGGACTCTAATTGGAAATTGTTAACCAGCATACTATATATATGCCTTCCAACTAACGCATATCTAGTTACAGGTATCAGGCAATTATTCTTTAAGCACTTGACTTATATCCTAAAGCTTTTAAGCATTCCTCAAAGAAAACTTAAAAAAGTGTGCGGAAGTGTGCTGACACCACAGTAGAACTTCGGTGGTAAGAGATTTACATGTGACAACAAAGATATAAAGTAATATATTATTTAAGGAAACGAAACTGATTTAGGCAGACATATTACCTATTCCATTGCGTATAAAAACAATTATATTAAAACAAATTTATAAAAACAAATGTTAAATGCACTTTTGCTGCTTGATTTGAACTGGTGACTCCTTGCTTGAGAGTCCGACGCTCAGACACATAAGTTTTGCTGACTCATGACGTCTCGTTTTATAAACTTTGACTACCGTTTCCCTCAACTTTCCTTATTCCTAATCTTAGTGCTCAATTTCGACCCAAAAAGAAGCATCTTAAAATCTTATATACAGATTGCCTCTAAAGATTGTATATATAGATTGTCTGAATATAAATCTTTTCTAGAGCCCTTTTTTTGATACATTTCTGTTTGAAAATATTCTTCAGATATTAATTTATTTTTTTTAGGATACATAAAAATACTAAAAGAAAACAATAATTTACAACATGCAACATATTTTTTTGTTAATATTTTAAGCTCGCTTGAAAAAATATCTAATGCTAGTTTTGGTGACCTTTCCATTATTTAAATCTTTTTTAAGATGGGGCTTAGTTTGTTAAAAGCACAACTGAAAAAGAATTTTGTTTTATTCTATATCAAAATCTATCTATCAAAACCTAATAGTTTGCAAATTGTTGAAATATTTTTTATTCATTTTAACAATTTCTTATATGGCAATTTGTTTTAGTGTAGTTTCACTGTACCGAGCTAATAATAACTTTGTCTTAGGGCTGCCAACCTGAAATTTCACCAGAGATAAGTAGTCGGGGTCTTCGTAACTTTCACGTGGTAAACAACCGAGCAATTTGCTGGGCTGTTGAAAATTCAGACTGATAACTTCAAATTGCGGGAATAAAAAGGCCTGCGCATAGATAGCTCAGAACTGATATCTCCCTGCTAAAATTGATATCACATAGATTACAATGCCAATAACAACATGAGCTAATTATTTATCACATCATGAGTGTATTTAAAAATATCATCCGATGATTCAAGGCTGTCACGCTGAAATTTCACTTCGCCTCTGTTGCCAGGCTAAAAGCCGTAAAGCCACTTGTTTACCTCCTAAAATGTCAGACTGATAACTTTCGACGAAAGTAAAAGGAGCTCAGGCACTTGCACACTTGAGTAAAATAAATAAAAATAAATGTATATATTTGTTCACGAATTTAAATTATTGTTTCTTTTTATTTATCCGTAATAGTTTACTGTAGTTTTTATTTACGTTTTGCATTTATATTATATAATTTTATTTGTAATTGTATTTAAATATAATTTTAAAAGTAATTACTATGACTTGAGTGTTGCTTTAATTATTGATTGTTTTATTTATTTAAATGTTTAAGTACATAATTGTGAAGTGAAAGATATGAAATATTGATATATGGAAGCAGCCGGAAAATATATATAAATATTTTGTAAAAATCAACGGATTTGTTTTTGTTGTTGTTGTAGTTGTTGTCATTATTATCATTATAATGATATAGTATGTAATATTTGCAGTGCTCTGTCACCAGGGACTCTCTTTCTCGCTCTTTCTCTCTCTCTCTTTCTCTGTCTCTGTCTGTCGCACAATACTTGGGGGCAGCATATTCGGCACTGTCGTTATAAAGTCATTTCTTAAAGTCGTCTAATTTAGACGATTCCATGATGATAGTTCGTTATTTAATGTAATGCTTCATGATGATGATTGGGTGTGTTGTGCGTGTGTGTGTTGTGTGTGTGTGTGTTGTGTCTTGTGTGTTTCGCTTTGTTTTTCTATTTAGGTTTTTCATTTGCTCTCTTCCTCTCACTCTCACTCTCCCCCTTAACTCTCCCCCTCACTTCTCCTTCCTCGTTCTCTACACGCAGGCACGCCCTTGTTGTAGTTGCAATATCGTATGTTCTTCAACAAATTTTGCCAACAGCATCCACAGTTGACCCACGAGTTAGGCCACACATCACGACTGCTTCGGATGCTGTACGGGGGGCGGCGGGGCGGGCTTGAAGCACTGCAGCAAGAAGGCGGTATAGATGACGAACGCCAGCGCCAGGGCTATCAGGGCGTACATGAATATGTTCAGTTCCGGCTGGCGGAAGCGATTCTTGCGCAGCCATTCGAGCACCTCATCCTCCGAGAGCAAATCGCCTGTGCATTGAGTACAGATACACATTATATATTTTATATTAAGCTAACAGATACTAATGAAAACCTGCCTCTGTATATGCTGGGAAAACGGCGCCGGAAATAGACCATGGCTGGCAGCTTGGTAACGCCCCATTTTTTGGCATAACGCGAATCGGCCATTTTGACAAATGTTATATCCAGATTATCCGTTTCGCTGTCAATATTCTCCAGTTTCTCCAACGACGCAATGCTATCCGGCTGATTGTGCTCATCTGCCAGAGTTTAAACATATATAATTGTGAATTTAAGCAAATTATATATATATATATATATCTATATCTTTAGACTTTTTACTTACAAAAGAACACGGATATGAATTCGTTTTCCTCGAGCAGCTTGTCAAGCATTTTGCGATTGACCTCTTCGATTTCGTTTTTAATTTCGAATACATCCTGTGATGTTAGCCAGGTAATAACCTTGTCATGCTGATGCATGTCGCCATCATAAAGAACAGGCACTTGTTTTCTAGAGATTAACAAAAAAAAAAAAATTTAATAGATTACAATAAAATCATATTGCGGTGGAAATAAACCAAATGTTATAAAGAAAACTAGATATTTTTTTGAAGCTCAACAATTCTTAACCAGTTTTTAACTTGAATATGATCAATATATCCCACCCGATTTTGAATCTGACAACGGAATCATATAGCTGCCATATGAAGGTCTGCTCGAAACGTCCGTTTTGTACGAAAGTGTAAAAACTGATTTTCAAAAAATTGTATAACTTAACTACCATAGATTTTGTAATTGTGATTTTCGTAAATAAAAATTTAATATTTCTATTAAATATTTGTATTTATATTCTAAGCTATTTTTATATGATATAGAGAACTTAATTATTGATAAAGAATTAATTATTTTAAAGCTATTTGAAATCGAATATCGAATCGAATTTTAGAAAATATTATTATAAATATCTTCTACAACACATTTTCTCTTGCTATCATTAAAAATATGGTTTATTAGCATTCAACTTACCGGAAATACACCAGCGAGGGTATATTGACAACATCATACTTTTTGGCCGCTTCCACGCTGGCAATTTTAACAAAATCAATGCCAAACATGTCAGCCTCGCCGTCAATTTCCTCGAGATCCTCAAGTATCTCCTCGCACTCGGCACAATCATCGTCATCTAGAATAAAATGTTTTAGTATCCCAAAAAGTAGTGTACAGTACGACTGTCTGCTTACAGAAGAACACGACCAGCAAAGTGGACTCGGCCATGAGGCGATCCAACATGCGTTCATTGACCTCCTCAATCTCATCAGCCAGCTCCCGATTGTCATCGTCTATCAACCATTCCAGGACGGACTGCTCGTTCTGTAGATCACCCTCAAAGAGCAGGGGATTGCCATTGCTGTGTAGGTTACATAATCCAAGAATGACTCTTATACTCTCCAACAATCACACACAAAAACCTACCGGAAGTAGACCAAGGCCGGGAAGGTCTTGATGGAATAACGTTTCGCCAATTGAGGATCTTGTATTTTGACCATGTGTATGCCAAAGACATCGCATTCATCGTCAATCAGCTCCAGACCCTCCAATATCTGATCACAGATATTGCAATTGATTTTGTCTGGCCATAAGCAAAGTAATATATCATTAGAATATATTTTAGCTAATAAATTTATGGTATGTATTTTATAAGAATGTGAAGCGTAGACTGCGTAGCAGATAAGTTAGAAAAGTTATATATAGAGGCGACGCAGCTAGTGGATAGGAAGAAAACGCCAAAACAAAAGGTATTCGCGCCCAAACTAAATTCTTTTTTAATATTTTTTAATTAATATTTTGATTTGTTACAACAAATTCGCAACATTTTGGACAACAGTTTAAGCCGGATCAAGTGGGCGGGGCATTTAGTTTGGTCGGTAATACGTTTAAATGTTAAAAAGTGTTTAGTATAAGAGTGGTATAAGAGTTGTTTAAGAGTTGTATAAGAGCTTTATAAGAGTTGCTTATGAGTTGTATAAGAGCTTTATAAGAGTTGCTTAAGAGATGTTTAAGAGTTGTATAAGAGCTGTACAAGAGAACAGTATTTGTTGTTTTTCTTTTTTTTTTAGGCAGAAATGTTTATCTTTGTTAGGAGCTCGAAAAACATGCGATTGATATTTATTTTGTTGGCTGTTGCGATTTGTAGGTGGAAGGAATACGGAATACCTTGTTTTTGGATACGTTTTCTTTTACGTGAAATGTAGCTTTGTACGAATTGGCTGGATGAGTGTTTGGCGTTGGAGGTCAGGTTGCTTTCTTTAAGACTAGAGGGTGAGCAGAAACTTCGACAGTAAGCGGGTGGCTTGCCCTTGCGCTCAGTCGGCACTGAGGCGTTACGGATTTTGGGATATCGATTTTTAGTTTTTGTATATATTTTTTTTTTTTTGTATTTTCGGATTGTTTGTGGTTGGTGTTGTGGTGCAGAGAGATTGAGTTTTGTGTGGTGCGGTGCGGTGGTGTTGGAGTTGCCAAGGTATATAATTGATATTGTGTGACATTATGAAAAGTTGATTTCTCGTTCTTTTTCTTTTGTTTAATCTGATTTTGTACAACTTACAGAAGTAGACGGCCAGATATTGGGT